TGTTGGTTACTTTCTTACTCACTTTCATTATGATCACTACGGTGGCATGTCTGCGAAATTTGAGGGGACCGTTTATTGCAGTGAAGTTTGTTTTCGTGTCTTCGGAAGTCCTTCATAGGTGACAGCAAAGCTTGTTAGGTTGACATTTGGTCAATCAATTTCTCTCGTTCCTCTTCCTACGAATGTTTTCACTCGTGTTCATGGTTACGGTATTTTACTAGTTGATGCTAACCAGTATGTTTCTGATTAACTTCATTGTGTCTTCCCATTTGTCATACTTGTCGCTAACATTTTTGCATACTTTTGGGTATCTTCTGGTCGCATGCTATTGCTTCTTGTTTTTGTTGAAGTGATTTTATTGTGGTTATTAGCCTTCTCTGCCTGAACTTATTGTTTTATGTCATTTTCATACTAGTTGCCCTGGGTCTGTTATGATATTGGCCCGTCTCCCCAACGGCGACATTAATCTTCACACCGGTGATTTCAGAGCCCATGCTGGTATGCTACAGGCACCAGGTGCTTTAGCAGACTTCGTCCAAAATGGATCATCGGGTCAGAGGATTGGTACACTCTATTTGGACACTACGTGGGCTTCACTTCCTCAAATTTCACTTTTAGTTTCTTTTGGGATTTTTTTTATGCATTCATTTTTTGATTAAGGGTTTAGATAAACTTTTCTTATCCTTAAAATTGGGGTTATTTGTGGTTTCAGGTCGTGCCAGTTTATTTTCTATTTTATTTCAATTTTGCACAAGGTATGTCGCTATTGATTTACATTGCGTTTCTACCGGGTTTCGCATTGAAATGTTGTGAAAATTTTCTTTGGTTCGTTACGAGTACAGATGGAAATACTTTAGTTTGTGTGTGGTTGCACCATCTGAATTTCGTCTGATGAATTATCTTCTGTTTAATTTAACGATTGCCATTTTATCACGTCATTGTTAAGGTTAGTTTTAGGTTGTACTTGCTGGTTTCAGTTGAATGCTTAGAATTACATCCTTGGATGCGTGCTGTCAAGGGCTTTACGTCGCCCTGTAGACCCAGGTTATCGTCTCCTTTTTCTGATCGTGTTCATGGACATATATGGTGTTGCTTGAGTCAATGCTGCTAAAGTCGTTTAAACAGTTATTTGATTTGGCCTCTAATTTGACATGCATAGCTTTATATGGAATTACTAAACCACATATAACTTAATTCCATTTCTTTTTATTCTCCACCATTGCTTTTTATTCCGCATGTCTCAGTGGGCCGAAGTATTGTATTATATTGACCAAATACTAGTTTTTTGTCAGAAGTGAGCCAATCAAATTCCCCTAACAATTACTTTTAGGCTATAATTAACATTTTTCTCTGCCTAGTTTCTGTGCTCCTCACTATGCGTTCCCAGAGCAGGACGTAGTGGTTAGAGCGGCAGTAGAAATATCTCGCGAAGCTCTCCTCAGATATCCTAATGCGCTTGTGCTATGCGGCATGTACACTATTGGAAAGGAACGGTTTGTCGTTAGTAAGAGTTTCGGTTAATTCTCTGCCATTGTTCCCCAGCGATGAAGTTTCCTGCGTCTTTGCTTTTGTGTTCAGTATTGATAGTCACACGAGCTTGCTACAGTTTGCGAGCTACTAATTGTGCATCTTTAAACCCATTTTTTGATTCACTTTAGTGGAATCAACTAGATGGGAAGTGCTAGCAATTTTTTTTATTTCAAATCCAGTAAATGTGTGACGAAAATTCCTATAGGATTCCTTCTTGCTTCATAGCTGATTGTTCAAGTTAACCTCAATACTAGCCATAATCCATTTTTCTTTTGCCTTGCTTGTTTGTGTGTTCATTAGCGATTTCCGTAGGCTTGCCACCTCTTACTCCGTCCCTTGATGCGACTACGTGATCCTCATTTTACATCTGTTGCGTAGGCTTCATCTTTTTATCCTTACTACTGAAGTAACGCCTCATTACGATGGTTCATAAAATTTGACACTTGGAACCATGCGTTTATGGCATAAATAAAATCAATTCTTCACACTGGGTATTTTAGGAATATATTGAATCTTTTTAATCATGACAAGGGTGGTCATCACGTGCGATTGTCGACGCTACTTTGTGCCTGTTTTCCAGCTAGGTTTTCTACTACCTTTAACTTAAGGTCTTAAATTCTGTTTTCTGTAGAAGTGAACCACATTGTCTCTTCCTGAGAATATAGGAGATATTCTTGGATAATACTCATGTAGTTTTGTATTTATTTTTTAAAATTGGGTCACTCACGCTACTATCTGCTATATGCAGAAATACTTACTGCCTAGGCAGATGATGGCTAGGCGTTGAGGGTGGCCATTAGTCGTTTGCGGACTAGGTGCCAGAGCTAAGGACGCATTACTAACTCCGCATACTCATGCCTGCAGGCCTGGCTGAGCAATTGGAGGCAAAGGTTTGGCTACCTGCTAAACAGCTTGGCCTTGTGGCAGCGGCTGCAGAGGGTGGATGTGAGGTGTGTCGCCGCCTCCTCTCGCGCACCGTTACCGCCCCATCTGAGGCGCTTATCCACGTGGTTGGTATGGGCAAGCTCAACCCTCGCGCCGTACTCGCCAGCTTCGTGCCCACTGGCAGACCTATCATTGCCTGGAAACCCTCGGGGTGGATGTACAATCCGCTAAAGAGGGTCACAGATACGACGCTCCGACGGCTGCCATGTACTCCTCAGACATTTTTACGTCTGAAGCATTGCGTCTCTATCGAAATGATCGCGAAAACTGTTTACGTTTTCGGTAAGCCGTCAATTCCATTGTAATAGTCTTTTTTTCTCTTGGTTATGTACTGCTAATTTGTTTTCGTAGCTCTTGTAATACTTCTGAGCAAATTCCCGGGAGTACGCTGAGAGCTTGTTCATCCTTCGCTAATTTATCTCTGCTCCCTGTTGCACGAGTCTTATGCACACATAAGTGGTTTAGATTGCTGATCTAGCCTTGATTTTAATAGCTTTTTTCGTCACACCGTCATCCATCCCCATTGTTTGTGTTGCAGTATCGCAGTTGTCTTCAGCTTGGCGATTGCGTAATTTTTATTTCATCTTTTTTGTGGCTTCACTGGTTCAAAATGCCCAGAGTTGGGGGTTCGTACCGAAGTTTGTGGGATGCAACTTTGGGAATGGTGAAGGCAAAAATATTATGTCAAGTTTTTTTAAAGCAATCAACCGTAGGTCCTATGGCCATTTAACTGGACGAAGCTCAAATTAACCACATCTTCGTTGAATATTTAGTTTAATTTGCGCTTCCACTTAAAGTTTATTCTTGTGTTTCTAGTTCCGGTGAATTCAAAGAAATATATATATATTTTCTTGTTTTATTGTCCGTGTTTGGCCCCATTTTGGGTTGGCTCTATGTATGAATGCCGTTTCACAGTCTATGATTTTCGCCGGTGTTATGGTTGCGAAATTTTTGGCATAAAATCACTAATTGGACGTTGCATTTCAATTCTTATTCAGTTCACTTAACCGAAGAACATATTGTTTTACTGATATTAAGAAGAGCTACGCACTACTTGCGCATTAAAGGACATTTTTACTAACCTTTCCCTGAAGGAGCTGCTTATAGTGAGCACAGTAGTTTCACTGAACTAAAGGACTTCGTAACCAAGTTGAAGCCTGTGGAAGTTCTACCTACCGTTTTTGGTGGAGCGGCCAAGGATGCACGCAAGCATATCAACGAATGGCTGCAGTCTAATGAGGCAACTAGAAATTCCTCCGGCAAGCTCTGACAAGAAGTAACTATTCGTGAGCAAATTTACTTTCGGTTATTTTTGTATTGTGAATAGCTTTGGCAAATGGATTGAACATTCACTTTCCCACTTTTTTTTGATAATAACGCCTCATTTTTACCACGGTCAAAGCCTACCTCAAAAGTCGTATTCTTTCGGTTGATAAAAAAAACTTATGGCGTTTATAATCCTAATTTGATCTTCATAGACATCATTGATGCAGATATTGGAATGAGTTTGACTGAGAGTTCAAACCAGGTGGCAAAGGGATGTGCACGTGTTCGCATCGGTGAGTCTCCTTTTGACCTCCTGCAGCTCCCAGTTTCCCTCGAAGTTTTGAAATCGTACAATAAAAACTGGTACTCGGACTCGAACAAGCATCATTATAAGCCTAATTTTCCTAGGTCCAGACGATGGCCTCCACAACCAATGCTACCCGAATGAAGAGCTCAAATTTCTGGACCATTTGATCATAACATACTCAGTTAGAGTTGGCGGGAATCAAGACAAACGCGATAAATTACGGGTGTAAGAATAAAGGAAAGCACATTTGCCTAATAGTTTGAATAAATCAGGTATGATAACATGATATGAAGCATAGTACGAACACCTTAGGAAAGACTGTCGAGGTTAGATAAAGTTAAGGATGGAAGTTAAAGAGGAAGGATGTAACCAAAGGTAGAAAACTGAGGCCATTTAGTGGATTAGGCGGCACCGCTTACGTTGGAATCAACAAGTTCAGGAGCGCATGAATTGTGAGAAGTTACCATGGTGTTGCAAACGGAGTCGGTGAGAGGAGAGGTGGAACACCAACGGTGCGAGCGCTGTAACATCAGCAGTTCTCTCTCGGCTACTAGTCGAGCGTCCTCCTCGAGGGCTGCTCTTCGTTCCGACTCCTCCAGCTTCAGAGAGAGTTCGTTCACCTTTTGGTCATGACAATGCGAGCACACAATCAGAAAAAAAATTCCGCTCATTTTTCAGATGCCCTACTCAACGTACGATCGCCTTAAGCTAAAAAAGGTAATCGTCGCCACTTTGCTGCCCTAAGTTCTGCCTCACTAAGGTTTTACAATATGGTGCGTGAGGTCTTGCATTGCTTCGCAAAAACACGACCTTACTGCTGACCGCTCATAATGGGTTCGTTCTCAAAAAATGCCTAGAATAAATCCAAATCTCAAAACATTTGATAGACGAAGCCCGTTGAGTCTTCACGACCTTCAAATAGTGAATAATACTGCCTGCAGTTCTCCACACATAAAACAATGCATTTTGCGAATGAAGTGGTACTGTGGCTGATTGTTTTGAGGCGACTGATGGCGAGTTCGACCGATTTACGGAACAATAAAAGCAAAAATTATCTCAAGTCAATCAACAAGCAATCCCAAATATATGGATACCCATAAAGCATGTGAAGGAATTGAGGAGCGCATCAATAGGCTGGTTTTTTTTTTGGTGGAGGGGGGGAGCGAATTCGTTTGCTCCACATATCGTTTCAAGAATTAGCGCAAGATCGATTTAATTTGATCGGCACTAATAATGTGCTCTTCATCATCAAAAATAGAGAAGTGTGAAGTAGTACATTTCCACCGTCCTACCTCGACTTATTCCAAACTCACTCCTAAAGAGGTTAAATAAGTTTCGTGATGAAGCATTGCAGTTGGAAGCGGGTCAATTTGTTCACAAAGGAGACATACCTAAATCGCAGCGGACGCTGAGTCTCAAAACAAGGGAAAAGTCGAAGGCACATGGACAAACTTACCGATGTCTAAACCTTGTACTGCGCATAAAATCGAGTGCTTTGGCAGGTCTGAAAAGTACAATTGGCTACAGCACCCCATATCGAAAACTGTTAGCATATGCTTGGTAGGTCGATTGTTGTTTTGTCAATGCACTTTATGGCTATCCATGAAAGTAGCAAAAACAAGAAGATATCTGGCGGCGAAGCAAACTCAGCACGTTTCAAGATAGTCTTTTGCGACGAAAGAACACGAGGATTCACAATATCGAGCAAGGGTCAGGTCTGCTTGGTAGTTGATCAAGAAATACAAAACTCTCAAAGGGGACTCACTTGCAAGAGCGATACGGTTTAACCACGAGGGGACTCTGTTCCTCCAAAAAAAGTGTTCCTTTAACATAGCAGCAAATACCCGAACCTTATTGCACTAATTCGAGTTTTAATTCCGAATGAATCTTTTACCATACTAGCTGGAAAGGACTTAACCTTCCCAGAGCTACGGAGTTTTATCAGCGTCTCAGAGCGCCAGCTACGGTAGAGTGGATGGAAAGATTTGAGTAGAATGAGGGGATTCGAGCAGCAGCTAGGTTTGACATAGAGGAAGTGTCCCACACTCGGTCGCAAACATAATAATTTTAATGAAATAGGAGTCAACGCATTTATCGGTGAAAACGAAATGGGAAGGTCGAAGTTGGTGCGGATGCCCGCATTGTACGAATGACGCATTTGAAAATGCATTTCTTCAGCATTAAACAGTTTCAAAAGATACTTGAAGTTACGGTGTATAGACAGCTTAGCATACCATTTTTTCCAATTCGTTGATGCGTACTTCGCATTCTTCAAGCTTCTGGTCGTTACGCTTAGGGCACAGCTTCAAAGTGGCCCCCGCTCTGCCGGGGAGGGGGTCGTGAGCACCATTATTTTCGTCAACATGGAGGGCGGGATCTGCCGATTTTGAGGGACACGAGTTGATGCCTTGGCTGCGGGTTGTAATGCTTTTGGCGATGGAACGATGAGTCAGTAGAAACTGATATGGTCGAAGAGAATCGAATTGGCGGTACAAAGATTCTTGGCGCATTTCGAGGATACGCAACTCATCACTCTCGATATCCAACTCGGATTTCGCTTTGTCCAGGAAACCTAAACAATCCTTGTTGAAAACATATTCAAACAATTCACCTACTCAAAGCCTTCTGTAGAGAATCCACTGCGTCGGCATAATTGTTCTCCACGAGGTCAACAAACATGGAGAGCTTGAGAAGAGCTCGTTCACTCTTGCGTTCATAATAATTAGCCTCAAGAAAATAAATGAGTTATCTGGGGATTATTTTGTGGGACATGATCATGTCGACATTAGAATCGATGCTACATTGACGACGCAAATAAACACTAAATATTGAAGTCATGATAACAACAGTAAAATTTTATAAAAATCATGACCGTAGGAGAGGAACACGCGAAAAGGAAAAAATCTCAAAGCGATCCAATGCAGCTACTCACTAGGATCATAAGCAAGGGGAGTGGGGATTACCTTTACAAACGTCATACTTTTGTGGTACTACATCCATGTAGGAAGTAGTACACTAGAATTCCAAGGATTACTATAATTCGTTTAAATCGAAGATGACTACACACTGGTACGTTGGAACGCTCTCACTTAACGCAATAGGTTAGAACTTTAAAAGACTTGCTTTAAATATCGTGCAAAACTACTTCCCATGGAAAAAAACAGGCTCAAATACCAAGTGCCGTGACAGCAAGAAGAGAGCACAGACACGCTAACAAGAACACTGATCAATAAGTAGAAGCACAAAGGAATATGCGTACAAAGATGCTAGAAATCACGATTAGCAGCAAAAGACCTCTAGAGGAAATTATGAATAACAAATGTCTACAGATGCAGTCCCGTACGCCATGAAAACGGGACTGCTTTGGCAAATAAAAGCTTTATTAAGAGGAAACAGTTATACCTCGCTCACGTAAGTGTTAGGTTCAAGTGAAACTTCCATGTCGAATTCAAACCGACATTGCCTCATATTCAAAGATTTGCCATTTGGGTTGTAATGCTAGGAGTTCCCATGTTGCATAGCCAATGAAAATGGGCGATCGGTTCCTACTAGCGATCTGGGACTCAATCATTGGCATGTGTGTGTGAAGTACAATTCAGCCCTCGCTTTCCAGTCTTAGTATATAAATATTTATGTGTTGATCAATTTAAGTTAAATGCAAGCGCTATTGTTAGTGAAAATAAAACCATAATCTTTTTGCTAGTTTAATGTTGCGATTGAACTGATATATTCATCTCAAGGACATTCGGGGTGTGTTTGGCTATTCGCTTACCATTCCTTGCACTTAATCTTCTTCCGAATACGCAACAAATGGGCGTTTTCTTCCTTTTTTGTTAGTATGGATTCTAATGCTGTGCAGGACACACTAACTTCGTCGCAAGTGGCATCCGGTTTTAACGTTTCGTTTGAATCTTTTCACTCTGGAGAAACTCCAAATACCGCCACTGATGTCCGAAAATTTTTTCCTCCTGAGAGTGCTGAACTTTTAAACACCCCTACTGGAGCTGATGTTCAAGGAGTCACGAAGCCTAATAGGATATTTTTTCCAGACGATAGCGGCAAGAAGGCTTCCTTAGCCCTAAATGGACCAAATTTGCACACGACTGAAACACTTCTGGATGCCAAGTCGATTAAAGTTGAAAGCTCAAGCATTCAGGGTGCGTTTCTCCACTCGTTTTTTTCTGCTTTTGCTTGTTTCTATCTCTTCATCCGAACGTAACCTAGTTTTTCCGCCACCTAGACCCCCACATTTTCCTCAAATTCTCACTATTCAACCACCGATTTGTTTTTAGTTAATCAGCTTTTAGCCTTGGATTTCCGTGGGTTTGGGCTTTAGACTTTCACATGTTCGAATTCTACTGCGCTTTTTTGTACTTCAGCTCCTACCTTCTATTATGGGTACTCATAAAGGTAGTGCCAGTACTTGTAACCGAAGCTCTGTGACTGCTCCTTGCTGCTGGGAAATGTTTTATTTATAGGAAAATATTCATTCTATACTCCATTCCTCCATTACCCCTATAATACTACATAGTTCTAACAAATGGAAGCGAAATCTGCGCGGGCGTGGATGTCCTATTGTGCTATTTCGAATTTAACACGATGTTGCTATGGCCCCTTTTTTCTGGCTTTTTTGGGGATCTTCGTTTTCCCTTTGCACTTGCTAATACTCTGGCGCCGAAGTGCACGTAATATTGTGCGCAAGCGGAGCTAATCAAAGTGTGTGCTACCAAACGCGTAGGTTCTTCAGATGGTCGCGTAGATTATCTGCTCACATGCAATAACTGCGCGTTTCTGTCGGTTATGGCAGTTTTCCGTCTCTGTTTTCACTCTGCCAAGAGTGCTTACCCTTGTCAAAGATCGTGCGCCTCTATTTCTGAGGAAACATCGAGTTTTGTTTGATACATAAATATTAGGTCACCTTAAAGTTGAAATTATTTTACCTTTTACTCTTGGTAAATCATCCTTAATTTAACACTTCATATTGAGAATCGCGTTGTCCCCAATGTTGTTTACTTCGTTGCAAACCTGGAACAATTTCAGCCCGATCTTATTGCTGTCATAAAGTTCTGTTTTGTGCTTTTCTTTCTTCATCGTTTTGTTGTTGTTTCTTTTGTTGCTGTAATGTCTACTACTAGAACCTGCTTTGCTTCGTTTATGCCTTTTTTTCTATAACTAATTACAATATTCACTTTGGTCTACTATTTGTCCCAACGTCCCATAACTTACTTTTATATTTTAAAATATCGTTGGGTTTCACTTAAATTGATGGGGCAGTTGGAGTGGCTATATATTTCATGTTGCTATTTGAAAATCGTTCCCTGTGGTGAATGTGAGAGTTTTATGGTTGCTATGACGGTTTTTGCCTATAATTTGCAAAAGTGGTCTCGATTTTCACACCAAATAAATTGCATGCTTGTTAACAAAAGGTGTTTACCTGCTACAATTATTCTTTTGGTTGTCATGGCTCACCAATAAAAGTTTACTTGTAGAGATATGGTAAAACAGTGGCTTGACTTTACGCACATAGGTCTGTAGCACCAGCCCTGTAGATATGGAAGAAGGAATTTAACATACGACGGATGAAAACTCTAAGGAACTTTAGGTGTAAGGGTTATATCACTGATATATAAAACGGACTTCTTGCAAAAGCAATCATGAATATTCGATAACAACTTTTACTGCCATGTTTTTCATGATAGTCCCAATTGGTTATTAATAATCCTTGTGCCACCTTCATTCTAAAGAACAGCCGGTATAGCTCTTTTAATCGCAACGGAGAATTAAAATCGCAATCCTTCATTTTTGTTTTCTATCCATTCTTTTTAGATTTTCACAACTTTTTGCGCACCAGACACTATTTTTGACTTATATCATTGCCACCCATCGCTACGATGTGTCCCGTTTCTTGAAAACTTCTGTCCTGGTGGTATTGGTTGCATTGGGTTGACTTAGCTAATATGCGTCAACGATATGCTTAACATGATTCTCGGCACTGAGTACGATATTACAACTTTGAAGTTAGGACAACTAGGTTTGGATTCATTCGTCTAAATTGTTTTTTCCACAGTAAGATAAGCGTCAACATTATTCCATAATTATCGAAAATTGCGCTTGCAAATGAGTTGGTTGTGGTAGTTTTACTTTTTTCATTTTGCGGACGTCTTGAGGTAGTTTTCGTCTTTGATTTATGCTTTGTTGCCAGTTCAAGACAGCCTTAGGAGGTTTCAGGAGCCCTCTCTGGGCGCAATTCGATTCACTTTAAGCAAACTGGATATCAGTCTGACTTCTCCCATAAGTTGAATATTAAATTTGTGCTATCATTAACTATTCTTGCTGTAGTCTGTGACTCTACAGCTAATGAGTATACTTTTCGCCATGTATCCGGTACATTCAGCCCGATGTAAAATCCGCAAATTTATTTAATCTACTCTAAATAGCTTGATCAGTTGCTTCTTTGCTTCACTAGGGTGATAGATGGCGGATAGAAGATTAGACTGCCAAAAGCGATTGTTCCTCTGATGTATGCCCCCCAGTTAGTGTTAATCAGTGGGTCTCAACGCCATCCTCTTCCCCAGACTAGCCAATCAACGCAATGCTGAGCCTTATTGCCCCGGAATATACCACCGTCCATTGCAATAAACCGTTCTCGAGGGTCAATTTGAATGAAAATTGATGGTATTTTTGGGCAAAGGTAGAGCTTCTGTTCTTAATGTTTTTGAGTGGCAAAAATCGGAAATATTTTAAGCTAATCTGTGTTTGCTTGTCCCCATGGCTTCAATCCCGTCTAGGGGGTAGGTGAGGACCACGTATACCGAACAATTTATCCCACTGCTGCTTCAATGATCGTTATCACCTTTTTGTATGTTTTACACTTTTTGTGGAGCATTTCTCATGTTACTACATTTGAACATCACTACTGCAAGTTTTAACTTCTTGTGTTCTCGTGGTGGGCAGATTGTCCTATGAAGGTTACGTTCTATTCATGATAGTATAAACCAGCCGCTGTCTGCCACTACTCCGCAACTCATCCTAGACATAACTCTCCCCTTTTTCACTCTGCCATAGTGCTGTATAAATAATTTGCTTCGTGCTTAAAATTCTCTTTAGGGTGCATCTAACTTCTCAGCTAAAAGTTTTCTAAGAATGTGTTAACCCATCACCTTTTTGATTCCTGGCCTCTTTTAGCAACGTATTTGTTTTCGTGTTTCCACCTGTTTTGGTCTGACTGCCGGGACGTTGTAGGTGGTTCACATTTGTTTACTGAGAGCTGTTAATATGTTAGCCTAGTGACTTGTAATGATGTTTACTAGCTCCATGGGTGTGTCCATTCGAAGCTCCTTTCATGGAAGACTAAATCATCAAATCGGAATCCAGATAACCTTAGCTTGGTGTATTTTAAGGCTTTTAGCTGCTGAAGGTCGGGTTGATGTATTAGTGCATTTGAAGTCTCCTAAGCGTATCTGACCCTTTGCCTCTAAGGTAACACCTCGGATAGTACTTCACGTACATTCAAATAAAATTGCTCTGCCTTCACAATGCTTAATGACTGCATTTCCCAGTGTCGATAATGTTGTGTACAACCAACGATATGATGCATCATAACTACGTGCGTATTTGAATTGATAAACAAAAATGCGGGGGGCCAGACGCGGAGACCGTCATCGGCTATGCGCTCGCACATGTCTCTGCGTCATATGCATTTGAATGAGTGCGCCGCACGCGCGTGTCGGACTCCTACCCCCTTCTCCTCCTTCCTCTTTTCATTGGTTTGTCGTGCCTGATGCGTCACCAGCACAGCAGCGGTTTCGTATGCATGTGTATACGAGCGCGTGCACGAACATGCAAATCTCTCCACGTCACGGTGCGTGCGCGTTTGTGTATGTACGCCTTCCGCAGTTTGTCATCACTGGTGCTTTTTTTGGTTTTCATTCCAGTGCTCGATGTTCTCGTATGGGTGCTTTTGGCGGCCCTACAGCCCTCATCACATTGATGCGATTCAGTTGGCATTGGTTTAATGGATGTCACTTGCTGTCAAAACACCTTACCCAATGTAACATTCCACTGTAATGGTCGCTATGTTAGGTTGGAAGCATCCTAACACTAGACCAATCACGGCTAGCTGAGATAAACAGCTAGGCAGCTAATTCGTTCACATAAGCACTACTACCGCTTATCGTCCTGATTTGAATAACTTCTGGAATGCAAAATCTCGGTCATAGAAAGTGCTAACTACTTAATATTTTGTGCCACCACACACCACTAGGCATGTTTTCCGATGTATGTGCAAAATGGGAATGCACATTGAACAAGGTTCTCCTTCCTTGCTGCGGCTTTATGCTCGCTTGTTCACCAAGAGATGTTTTCAGTAGAACTTGTCATTTTGCAAGTTCATTTTATTCTGAAATATTTTTTTGCGCGTGTCTATGTCTATTACCTGTTCTGTATCGATGGCAAATTCTATCACAACAATGACTTTTAATTTTATGCAGTAATAAATTTGATATATTAAAAGGAAATAATCCAAGACCCGATTCCCTTCGCCCGCCATTTTGTTGCGCACACTAGAGTTATGCCTAGCCTGTTCAACTAGAATCTTTGCATATCTTTTTCTGCAAAATTTGCTAAACGGTGTTTCACAGCTTATCCCTATTGCGGATGGTTTTTTTTACTCCATTAGCAAAGTATTCATTTTCGTCACAGCTATGCTTTGCAGTATTCTTTTGGTAAGCGCTCATGACGTCCTACAAGGGAATTAATTAATCTTGGCCCACTGCGTGAATTTGGGGGATTTTTAATTGCAAACCTTTCATTTAGATGTTGGTCATAATCCTGTACTTTTTGCATAAATTTTAGTCCATTGCTCCATTTTTCTCAACTTAATCCCACTGCTGTGACAAACTGCATCCTGGTGAATTGCGATGCAGAAAAGTAGGCACATGAAACGTACAGGGTTATACCTGCAATCGTACGCCTGAGACGCCTTTAAAAAGTGGCCCTTAATTATAGGTCCCCCAGATACAGTATGCAATACTGGCATTCTAATGCTTTTATTTCCGATGTCATTTGCGTCACGGTGTTTCCTCTTATGGCATGTTTTTTTGTCTCGTGAAATGGGATATAATTTCCCCACTTTTCATCTGTTTCTCATTTAGAAAATTCATTTGCTCACTAACCCCTGAATTTCATACGGTACTCTTAATGGTAGATTGCACCACCTGTATCATTGTTTGAGGGCTGTTCTGTGCAGTTTTTTGGTTCAAATTGGCCTTTCATGGGCAATTAAAGTTTTACTCTATTTTAATCACCTTTATCGTCATATCTCCTTCTATTCCATGGTAGTTTTTCCCCATTCCAAATCACTTTTTTCCCTCATGCTGCAATAAGTGTGTTGACACTGTACTCAATCGCTTTCCCGAAACTCCAGTACTGTATTACTGAATAGTGCTTCTCATTACCGAAATATTTAAAACTGATCATAGGTATTTTTATATAATAAAAGTCAATTTTCTTTGACTGGTAAAATACTTTTTTTGTATGTACGTTTAAGAAGTGACCGGAGGTTACCTTTCTCATTGACTATACACCGTTTACTCCTTCTTTGAGTTGTCTTATTGCCTTTGTGGTAGTTCAAATAAAGCTGCCAAGAGAACTCGTTTTATCCTATATATCAAGATAATTGTGGTTGTTCAAGTAATTTTGGAAAGCTGTGTTTTCAGGCAAATCGCTAGTCTTGACTTTCGTTCCTTTTTTTAAAGGCAGATGTTGTTGCTATTCTTTCTACTTTTCCCTCGTCATTGTGTTTTCACAGTGCAATGTGAATCATGGCTCCCCTTGGGTTTTACTCAAGGCAAGGCGGGATTTTTTTTAATTGGCCTGGCATCCAACTGACTACCGAACCCCGGATGTGTACCCCCATCTGATGGTAGGCGTTCACCCATTCCCTCTGTGCATCCTCCTTTCTCACCTTATTTTGGACCCTTTGTGTGTGCTTGCCTCTGGGTTTGGAAATAAGAAGAGTAAGTTAGGAGGCAGAATTTGTTTGGTGGTATGGCTTGAGCGCAGGCAAATTACCCACGTTAAAGCTCACGTATAACAAACTTGGTTGGTCTGGTCTATTGTTCACTGCATCACACCTTCAGGCCAAGGTGTCTATTGGATTCTAAAAGAAGGGTTTTTCGGGGAATCTCTGCAAGACTACCTCACATTATTTACCTCGCTGCATTGTTTTATCCTTGGCACGGTCAGTTCATCGCGTCCAAGGTAGTTTACAGCGAAGACTATGCTGCAACATATTGGTATAATCGAACTGTCCGATGAAAGCATATAAATTTTCATAAACAGTCATCAAACTACTTCATTTGTTTACTTTTACGGTCATATTTGGAGATGTGGTTGGCAGGGCATTTAATTTAAACCTTGGGTAAATACACATTTTTCTAGAGCAAAAACAAGCCTTACCCAAAGTCATCACCATAAGCTGTTCTTACAATAGATTATCAAAGCTAAAACCGGCTATACTTCACACTACTAAAATGCGTCAAGCCGTGCCATATCACTATAGTAAATTGTCTTGTTTTCGTCCTCCCATTTGTATGTACCGGAAGTTGGTGGTGGTTAAAGTGTCATGTAACTCCCATCATGGCGATGTCCCGTGGATTACGAGTAGTGTAACTATGTGTGCTCCACAAATTGTACTAATGTTGTTGATTCGTTACTCCACCATGTAATCCAAGCTTTCTGCTTCGGTCGTTTCAGCCTTCAGCCTATATTTAGTTGCATAGGTTTTACTTTGATATAGCTGTCTAAATGTGAAGAGCTTTATCGCACTTGCGTATTTTTTTTGACGGTTCTATTACCACTGCTTTTGCCATTTGGCAGCTGCGGTATCTCAGATACACTAATGCGTTCGAAGACCGTTTTTAATTGATGAGCAGAAATTTTGCTATGGTTATAAACGCCTTCATCACATAGTACTGATGTTGTTCAACTAACCACGACTACTACCACCTTTAGATGCATCGCTGAAATCAGTAAAATCCGCTGTAATGATTACGAAGCCCGTGCCACCTTCAGTAGCATCAGCCTCTGATGGCACTGTGAGCACAGTAGCGCTGCCCTCGGTGGGATCTGCTTGCACTCTACCACAGCCCAGTGAATCAGTGAACTCTATTTTGACAACCACAGCGGCAGCAGTAGCAGCGACGACGACCACTCCTCCTGTCCCTCCACTCGACACCACAGGAATTACTGCGACCGCTGCAGCCCACGTCTGCGTGCCTTCCCTCAACTTGCCTCCAAAAATGCCCTCTGACTCCTTTCATTCAATCTCAGAGCTTCCCAAGTCGATCATCCTCTCCGCCACCTCGGGCACCCCACTTGACCCTCTGGTCACTCCTACCTTCGACTTTTCACGAGTTAAATCCAGTCAGACGCAGCAGCAGCAGCAGCAGGCACAAGGCAACTCTGCGTCCGCTACAGCCCCTTTCAGCTTCCAACTCCTTCACACTCCAACTGGCGCCAGTCCAACTATGCTTTCTCAGGTCGTAACTGAGGCTCACAATACCCTGCAGTCTCCAGCCGCCACTGGCCAAACGGGTTCTCACATGTTCGACTACTCGCAGTTTTTTGGTGATTTCTCAAACACTGCGACGCCTATCTTTTCACCTACCATCATTCTTAATACCCAAGCACTTCTCTCTCCCTCAGCGATTGATTCTGATGGACAGAGAGCTGGTGTTAGCAATGCCTCTACAACCATGACCTTCCCGTCCTTCCTCAACACCCCTGGCTCCACGCCGATAATATCTTTTTTGTGCTCGAGCCCCGGTGCAAAGGGTGGCCAAAGTTTTTTCTACACTCCATTTGGAACTGGACAGGAGACCAATACAACCGCAACTGCTGGGACACCCATCCTCTTTCCTACAAATGCCTTCCTATCCTCTCCAACTTCAGCCGATAGCCTTCTTGCACAGAATGATCATCAACACCATCAGCATCAGTCACTCGAACATACTGCTGGTCTTCCTCCCGCAAGTCAGGTCTTGAATCTCACTAAGTCTAGCGTCTCAGAATCTATTCCTTCCATTGCCAGCGCTCACACCGCAATGCTTATGGACCCACCGAAAGTTTCACCGGAAAAGACTACCGCGAGAAACTCCTCCACCCGGCGAACCTCCAAATGGGCGAAGAGCTCTGCAGGCAACGGCAAAAGTGGTAAAATGACACCAGAAGGGGCTGAGAAGCCACACAAGTGCATGGATTGCCCAAAATCATTTTCACGTTCAGACGAGTTGACTAGGCACCGACGCATCCATACGGGTGCCAAACCTTTTCAGTGTACCACTTGTCACCGATATTTTTCACGCTCCGACCACCTGACTACGCATCGCCGCACTCATACAGGGGAGAAACCTTTTGCCTGTGAACACTGCGACCATAAATTTGCGCGTTCAGATGAAATGAAGCGGCACGCAAAAACGCATGAGAAGCAAGCAAACCAGGCTCTCGTGGGAAAGGCCATTCACGGCGCTGCTTCCGTTGCCTCACGCAAGAAGCAACGATCAGCTCCACAGAGCCTCGGAAATGGTCGGCAGCCATCAGTGGCTGCACCTTCACAGCCTCAACAATTCATATTCTTAAATGGTGATGAATTCGGCAGCACTTCCCAGGGCTTTCAGCTCGCTCGAACAGGAAGTAGTGACGGTGATGGAGTGGGTAACAAGTCGAGTGATTTTGATCTCCTTCAGCCGATAAACTGCACAGCTGCTTCTGGTGGTAGTGCTCCGCTTTCGAGGTCAGGACCATCAAATAGCCAACCGTCAGCAGTGGAATATCTTACGCAGATCCATGCGACTTCTCTTCCACAACAACATCCACCACCCATATAGATGTGTTTGCATTAATGCATCGCCCAGGTCTTTCGCTGTGTAATCCCTGCCACTTCGTCTTCTTTCTTCACGCATCGACTCATCTGCCCCGTTCACTTCTTGGTTTTACTATTTTTTCATAATCACTGTTTCTTGACGCCAGGTCTCTCTCACCCCCAGATTCTTCTTATGCATATATGCACACACCAACGATTTATTATTTTTTGGCTGCATATCCTTTCTCTCACCCATGTCGATAACCAGATTTTATCACACATAGATGTGTGCTTTTTTGGCCCCATCCTAACTTCTGCTCGCTCAGACGACGCGCACGATGTCTATCGCTGCCAGAGTATCATGCGTACACTGACACACCACCATGTTTCATTAAGTACTTCGACGAATTGTGCCTATGGGTGGTTTTATTGGTGAAAGGATGCATGAATCCCGATGATAATTAGGCGCCGAATTAATTTGGGCTGTTTTTCCTCCTCGTGTTTTTTTCAAGTTCTTTATACGGAACTCTCCCTACCCTGCCCCGTGATGCGGAGGCATCTGGAGACTATGCCGAACCTTACTTTGTATACTTTCGAATAACAGCATATTAAGATAAATTTTCTTCAAATAAATTGAAACCTGTTTAACAGGTATACTGCTCACTCTTGTTTTTTTGTATTCTAAATTGCTGCTTCCCAAAAAAATGCACATTCATGATCAAGTTTACTATGTCCACCTGCTCTCTTGTTTGTATCTGCCTCCGCCAATTGAAGCGGCACATGCTTGAAATTTTGTGAATATGTCTCATGAGTACCAAAGAAACTGAAAGTGAGCAAATGTGCATTGCAGGAGCTTCTTTTGGGGCGTACTGATCGTACAGTGACAGCCTTCAATGAGCTATTGAAGTACCACGGTTTAGTGACAATGCATTTGACGTTGTAAAGGTATGCGTTCATAAGCATGGGAGCGAGACTGACATTTACGGTGTGAGGTGTGTGGCCGACTTTGGTCGACGTAGTTGCACTAGTTTATGTTATCAAGCCATGAAATAGAAGCGTGGGAGGCGACGCCGTAACTTCAGGGACTGTCATGTTTGTGCGTGGGTGGGTGTTGGTGCGTGCGACCAAGACTGGAGACAGCATGCTCTTGCATGGACCGTTGTCAACCCACGTTTAGACGACGACCTTCTGCGCGACGTTCTGTGCAGGTCGATCACGCTTTTCAGCCTCGCAAGCGATTAACATTGCGCATCATTTGTTCTCCTCTCTCATCCAAATAGGGCAATTAGCGTAGAGTGGAAGAAGACAATCAACTATTCCATTCTCAGATAAACTTGGATGGCGTTTGCGCAAGGATTTCCTTAGATTCGGTTAGACGTTTCCTATATTTGCCATATCAGTTAACTATCATCTGCCTCCCAATTTGTGATGAGGGTAGTTTAGATAGTGATGAACGGACTGCTTCTTGAGAGACTTGGATCGCATTCAAGTTATTGGAACAGGGCTACCTCAGTTCGAAGTTGGCTGACTGCAAACTCATGCTAGGCGGTTGTGTTGACAACATTAAGATCGGAATGCTTCTCTAGAAAACACTTGAACACAAAATGGAAGCATTATTAATCATGTAGGCAGGTGCCTAGTTGAAGTTGAAATGTGGAAATAAAGTTGGAGTTAAATCGTTCCAATGTGTCAAGAGCTTCAAATTCTAAAGCTGTCATTTTTTTTCTATAAATGGTGCTGGCCCTATTTTTTGCGTAAATGTGGGTGCATCAACCTAACGGGCCCAATTTCAGAGGCGGCACACAGAACTGCAATATTCTGTGTTGGAACTGTGAAAGTTCCATATTCCAAGTGCATTGTTCAATGAAGTTACTTCAATTTCGGGAAGTAATGTCCTAAAAATGCAAACTTTCAGGCATGAAACAAAAGAACTTTATTTTGATGTACTCGTGCAATTTTTAAAAGCGGTTAGATTGCTGTCAACATTCAACTCTTGTGCCGAGTATTTGGTGCTTTCGGGGACAGATTT